CTGCCCCTCCCGGCAGCCCCGGGCGCCCTGAACCTCTTCCCGGCAAATATTACATGCTGTGGTTAAGTAAGTCTCTGTCATTGTAAGTGGCAGCACAGCCATTCCACTGTAGGAGGGGCCTCAACCTCACCTCTTCTCTAAAAACCTGCCTTACTGACGTAGACGACCTACCCCTGTCACCTGCCCTGTTGTAAGCAGCCCACTTTTTTGGAGGTTCTGGCGATGCTTTCCTGCTCTCGCCCTTAATCTTTTTATCCTTACAAAGTGTACTTTGGGATCTTCCTAAGATGATTGTATCAGGGCGTCGACCTTTCTACATTTTTTATTCTCTTTTTCTCTATTTGTTTATGTAACAGAGTAAGCAGGAAATTCACAGGAGGTCTGCGCGGCTCAGAAACACTAAATACAAATCTGCTCCAGCTGCTGAAAAGAAAGTTTCTACTAAAGGAAAAGGGAGAAGACATATTTTTAAATTAAAAAATGTAAGATGATGTGGACAGTGTTTTTACTGTTATGATGATGATGTGTGTACTGTGTTCTGCTACTGCTTTGGTTTTCAGTATTGCATGTGGCTGCTGCTTTTGGGAACCCATTTGTAGTATTCTGGGGAGTGGACCAGACTCACCCCAAAATAAGCTGTGTTTCAAGAAGCTTGCTATTTATAATGTTAATACCACTCTCACTTTTATAACTTTCATTTCTTTCCTCTGGAAAATATTAAATATTTTTATCAGGGTCTCTGTGGAGAGGAATTGAAGAGATTATGATTCTTGATATGGCCAGGTACACTAGGAAAACTTTTTAAAAAATCCTTTAAAGATTTAAGTAAATAATAATACAGGAATTTAATCATTTCCATATACAGTTGTTATTAAAGCTCCAGAAAATGTGCCCTGTGATGATGAATTTAATGGATTTGAATAAAATTTTTCTCTAATCCTTTATCTCCCCTTCTACTATATGAAATTCAAGAGATTGTTGAAAACCTATGCTGGATATATTGAAAGCACATTTTTGTTGGAATAAGTTTTATTTTTGTGAACCTGGGACAATGGACAATACATTATAGACAATTTAAAATTATTTATTTTGTAATGCAGGGCATTAAACCCAGGAACCCTCTACCAGTGAACCTAAGGCAAAGTCTCACTAAGTTCTGAGGCTGTCTCTAATTTGCCATCCTTTTGCCTCAGCCTCCAACGTAGATGGGATTATAGGCATGTGTCATCCTATCCAGGTAGATGATTTTTTTTAAGCCTCAGTGTGGTATTCCTTTTAGGACAGAAATGCTTCTTTTACTGGTAAAAGCATTTGTGATGTTGGGCTTGTTGATTTATAAAACAGAGGGGCTTGGGGATAGGTTCTTATGTAGGTTGCAGATTCTTAATGAGAATAATTGCTGCTAATTTAAGGGTTTTTTGTTTTTGTTTTTGTTTTTTTAAAGAGGGAGAGAGAGAGAGAGAACTTTAATATTTATTTTTTTCAGTATTTGGTAGACACAACATCTTTGTTTGTATGTGGTGCTGAGGATCGAACCCGGGCCGCACGCATGCCAGGCTAGCGCGCTACCACTTGAGCCACATCCCCAGCCCCAATTTAAGGTTTTTATAATTTAGTTTTCTTAAAAAGGGATTTGTTGATTAGGTAAAACATGTTAAGTCAGTTATCATTTACAGTGTTTGTATTGTAGGCATTTTTTTTCCTTTTAAGTTCTGCAAACCATTTTCTCTGATGATTATATTATCAGTTTCTCTGCAACTCCTTTCTTCAGTGTTCGGACAGAGATACATGGGTTAGGCTTAATTTCTATGCTGTGACATTGAAGAGTGTTTTACAGCTTATGAGGTTTCAGTGATGGTTGGAAGGTGGCAAGTTATTAAGAACTCCCAAGAAATTTTCTAAAGCCTTAGTTCAGACTTGCTGCAAAATTGATGATGTTGATTATCGTAGCAAGTTCCAACACTGAGATGAAAAATGACTTCTAAGAGACACTTTTTCACTTATGTCCACTTGCTTATTTTTCATGGCTTCCATTCTGTCATGTGCAGGCTTTTAGACCCAGTATATTTTTATAATTGAGATGTTAATGTCTAATGTGTCTCTGAGAGTACTTTGTGTTAGATCTCAGCAGCATAATCAGAAACTTGCCTTTGTTTCTGAGTAACTTTTAAGCTAATGGTAACAGAAATAGTGGAAATACTCAGACTGGACTTTGCCACAACATTCAGAACATTCACTTATCTTTTATATTACTGTTTTTGTTACTGGACAATAAATCTTAGAATTTCTGAAATGAATCCTTTATATATGACTGTAAAAATGCCTGTATACACATACATGTAGACATACATGGATATGCTAATGTTTTTACTTTTTCTCATAGCCTATCAAAGCTCCTGAGTCTGTTTCTACCATAATCACTGCAGAATCAATCTTCCACAAGGTAAGCTTCTGTGGAGTTCCTGAAAGAATTGGACCAGATGTAAAATATGCTACTAAAATGGTGTTTTGCTGGGCACAGTGTTGCATGCTTGTAATCCCAGTGGCTTGGGAGGCTAAGGCAGGAGGATCACAAATTCGAGGTTAGCCTCAGCAACTTTGCAAGGCTCTAAGCAACTTAGTGAGACCTTCTCTCAAAATAAAAAATAAATAAGGCTGGGGATGTGGCTCAGTAGTTAAAGTGCCCCTGGGTTCAATCCCTGGTATAAAAAAAAAAAAAATGGGGATTTAACCTCAGTGTCTCTGCTGTTCTGTATTTGCATAAAATGTAGTTATGCTTTTGTTCCATTCTAAACTGTTTTCCCCCATTGGTGGTTTATCCAGAGTTGAGGTGAGAAAGGTTACCTGTGGAAATATGATATAAGGGTCTTAAGTATATTTTTAAAGTATATATCATTGAATTGTCCTTAAAATGCTAATTATAGTGTGGAGCCAGGAAAAGGTAAGGCTAGGTAAGTCATCCTAGCCAGTGTGATGGCGTGGAAGGGTAAGAAGGAGAGAGTCTAGGTGTGGGTTGATGGAGGATGTGGACCATAATATCTAATGGGTAGAGCAGGCCAAGAGATTCTGAAATGCCTTAAGCAGAGGAGGGAGAAATAAGTGCAGTGGTGGAGATTAACAGACACTACAAGTTCTTGGGAGAGGGTCCAAGGCATTTGATAAAACGAGAAGGTTAGGTTCATAGGCCTAAGGTTTCAGGCATGTACTAGGGTTCTTAGAATGTATGTCCCACAGATAAGGAGAGTCTGCTATACACAAAACATATTAATAAACACCTACTATGTGCCTGGCAATGCTTGATATCAAAATCTCTCACTAAGGTATTATCTTTACATTGCAGTTTTACATTCCAACTGTTACATATTTTGGATTAATTTTCATTCATCATATATTTATTTGCGTGCCTATAATAAACAAATGTAATCATGATAATTTGGGAATAATGATTATATAATATGTAGACAGGTTTAGAATTGGTATCATCATAAACATGGATTTGTTAGACCTTTTATTGACTACTTTCAAAACCTGCTTTCTTATTAAAGAAGTTTCATTCATAGCTGTGATGTTCCAGTTTTATTTTAAATATGGGATTTTTTTTTTTATTTCTCTCAGGGAGTGTATTACCAAATTGGTGATGTTGTATCTGTGATTGATGAACAAGATGGAAAGCCCTACTATGCTCAGATCAGGGGTTTTATCCAGGACCAATATTGTGAAAAGAGTGCAGCCCTGACATGGCTCATTCCCACTCTCTCCAGCCCTAGAGACCAGTTTGATCCTGCATCCTATATCATAGGTGAGTTTGACAAATGGCACAGGTTCTGGAACTTGGTTAACTCTGCCATGTCATATTAAAAAATGTGATAGTCTGCTTGGTCTGCCATGACAAAATACCAAGGCTCTATTGGTTGAACGACACAACTGTTTTGTCTCACAGTTCTGGAGACTGGAAGTCTGAGATTAGGGTGCTGTCAGGATTGTTGTGTAATGAGGCTTTCTTGTCTTGTAGATGACCACTTTCTTGTTGTCTTTACACAACCTTCCTTCTCTGTGTGTATGTAGAAAGAAAGCTCTCTGGTGTCCCTTAATAAGGACATCAATCCTATCATCTTATCCATAAAGGTCCTTGTGGCTTTGTTTAACCTCAGTTACCTGCCTAAAGGTCCCATCTCCAGTACCACTACTTGGAATATTAGGCCCTCTTCATATGAATTAAGAGGCTGGGAAAACAAATCCCATTTAAAAAAAAAAGGCATAGCCATTAAGCACAAAAAAGTGGAGATCTTTGTAGGAAATATGAAAGATAGTTTATATAGCTGGGGTTTGAGTGCCTTAGTTACTCTGGGTTACAGTAGTGTGCACCTACTAAAAAAATGATGTGGATAAGATTTTTTCTGAGTGTTCCAGAATTAAACCATATAAAAAAAATTTTGCTGTCGGGTGCAGTGGCTCACACCTATAATCCCAGTGGCTTGGGAGGCTGAGACAGGAGGATCATGAGTTCAAAGCCAGCCTCAGCAAATGCGAGGCACTAAGCAACTCAGTGAGACCCTGTCTCTAAATAAAATAAAAATAGGGCTGGGGATGTGGCTCAGTAGTCGAATGCCCCTGAGTTTTGTACCCCTTCCCTCAAAAATTATTGCTCAGGAACTATATTATTTAGATTACTTATAAAAATCAATTTGAAAACAATTTCTAAGAGATCTATCCTAGTTATTTCTAAAGTCTTAATAAATTCTCAATATGCAGCCCTGTACATATCACATGTCATTCCTAAGCCTTTTATCATTGATGGTTAAAAGATGTGATGCAAACAGTTTTTGGCATATATTTACAAGTTTATGATAAATATGATTTTGAAAGTGTTCAAATTTCTTTTTTAAAAAATATTCATATTTTTAGTTGTAGTTGGACACAGTACTCTTATTTTGTTTACTTATTTTTATGTGGTGCTGAGAATCAAACCCAGGGCCTTGCACATGCTAGGCAAGCACGCTACCACTGAGCTACAATCCCAGCCCAAAAGTATCCAAATTTCTTAAGTTATCCTGAAATTTTCATTCTTATAATGAGCATACATTACTTTTGCTTCCTGAAAAATCTATGCATTTTTTTTTCATTGAGACCTCCCAGGACAATAGCCCAGTTATTTTCACCTATATTCAATTTTATTACATGACCAAAGAGTTCTAGTCTTCTGCTTATGAGTACCTTAGAACACCAGACTTTCACTTACCTTATTTATGGGACAGCTTCCCAGAAGAGGCCACGATTGTCAAAAACACATCTAGGGCACCTCGCCCATCTTTTCTTCCTAATCCCCAAAGTCTGAGGTACTTCCTAGTCCTGGAGGAGGCACATCTTGGAGGTTAAAACACTAAATCTGGAGCCACAGGAGTTCCACATCCCTGCCATTTACTACCTGTCTGAGTTTAGCAAATTCTTTAATCTCTTTGCTTCACTTTCCTCATGTGCAAAATGAGGATAATAGTGCCCACGACAGAAGCTTGTTGTGAGGATTCAAAGTGCTGATATATGTAAAGTACTTAGAGCAGTGCAGTCATGTAACAAACTTTATGTAAGTGTTTGGTATTATTTTTAGAATCCTTTCTCAGTTGAGTTGCTCTTTTTTGGGAAACTGCCATATTCCTTAAGCTTTATTGCTTAAGGAAGTATAGTAACTTCAGAGCAACATCTTGACTTGATGTTAGTCCTTGAAACAAGAGTGCTTTCTCCTAGTAACTAAAAATATTAACATTTTATGAAAATGATTGTTATGGTCAAAAATGTATTTAACCTTTCTATTGGCTGCCTTCTAGGGCCAGAGGAAGATCTTCCAAGGAAGATGGAATACTTAGAATTTGTTTGCCATGCACCTTCTGAGTATTTCAAGTCACGGTCATCACCATTTCCTACAGTCCCCACCAGACCAGAGAAGGGCTACATATGGACTCATGTTGGACCTACTCCAGCAATAACTATTAAGGAAACAGTTGCCAACCATTTGTAGTTACAAAATTAAAACTAGGGCTGAGGCTATAGCTCAGTGGTAGAGTACTTGCTTAACATGTTTGAAGCCGTGGGTTTGATCCCCAGCATTCAAAAAAAAAATTAAAACTGGATTTCCAGTTTTCATCTATCATACTACTATGAGATATACATGTGTTCCTTTCATGAAATTTTTACATGGAAAAATGACAAAGTTTTTTCCCCTAAATACCCAGTAATCATTAGCTTGTTTATTACCTATTACTTAGAAAATTACAAGGAATAGAAAATAATGAAATGTATTTGAAGGTAAATATTACATTTTGTATGTATATCCTCCCAGGCAAAGGCTACACAGTTTCCTGGGAGACCATTAGTAACAGGTATGACTATTTTTCTTCATATTTATTGTTAGTAGCTCATAAAATGAATTCTATTTTTATATAAGTATTAGTTAAGTTTTAGGTTTCTGATCAAGAGCTTAAATCAAATATATCTGTTATCAATTGTATGTGTCATAAAGCCACACAAAACGTATTTCCTCATCAAGAAAATGCTGTGACAGACTTTGGACAGCATTAACTGTAAGGAGTGATTCCTAAATGATTTTATTAGCCCAGACTTTTTAAAACTTTTATGTGATTTTTTTTGTAGCAAATGGTTTTTTGAAACCATTCAGTTGTTCTCAGTAGAGCTGCTCTTCACTGTCTCATCTACCTTCTCTGTCAAACAGAGACTTAAGGTCAAACCATAGACTACAGTGCAGATATCACCTTCACTGGAGCACCCAGAAAACCTGTGCTGCTTGGGCAGTCATAAAAGTGATTGGTAGGCCATTAAATGCCTACCCCAGCTTAAGCCATCTGCCATGGACTCCTAATAGCATGCTTTGGAAGGTCTGCTGTGTATGCTTCAAGTGCAAATCAGTTAAGTAAGGGAGCGACAAATGTTAGGGGTGGGGGGGGAAATGCTTATCTCCTCTACCCTGATCTGATCATAATGATTGTAACTGTGGCACCTCTCACCCTTACCCTTTTTCTATATAATTACTGTTATATGTTGAGAACAGGCACTGTAGATGGCTCTATGTATATGGTCATCTCTTTGTTCGCAAAAGTTACAGTAAAATTGATTGTAAATACCATTGAAAATAGTTTTCTAAATGCTGATAGTCAAAACTTTTGGATTAAAATATATTTTTCACCATGTATTTACTTATTTTATTTAAACTATGTAAGACTTCCTATCCAAAGATGGTATTAAATAGAAACTTCTGAGTTGTACTGAATTTCGAGTAGATTCATCATCAGTAAGTAACAGATTTTAGGAAAATCCTAGAATAGCCAATTGATAAAATGAGTATTTAATTAAGATATTTATTAAAAGGAGGACTTTATTTTTAAACTAGTATAGTTGAGCAGGGTGGCACACACCTGTAGTACCAGCTACTTGAAGGCTGAGGTAGGAGGATCACAAGTTTGAGGCAAGCCTGGGCAACTTAGTGAGACCCTATCTCAAAATAATACAGTTTAAAAAGGAGTGGGGATGTAGCTTAGTGGTAGAATTCTAACATGTGCACTCTCTAATACCTAAAAACAAAACAAACAAAAAGTATATATTTGGGCTATTTGTTTCTAAATTTGATAGATAGCTTGTATCTTTCACATAAAGCTTCAGTTTTCACTTTTTCCTTTAACTAATACCAGGGCTCCCATGGTTTCTCCTATGATTTAAGGCTCTGGTCAGTATTCTTAACCTGCTGTCTTCTTCTTACCACTGAACTGTTTCCCCTGTACACCCTCCTTGTTTTCCTGTCACTGAGCCCTTTTTCATAACCATTTCTTCCTACCAAAGACCTTTTTTTTTTAATGTATTTTTTTAGTTGTAGATGGCATAATACCTTTATTTTTATGTAGTGCTAAGGATCGAACCCAGTGTCTCAGGTGTGCCAGGTGAGCACTCTACCACTCAGCCCCAGCCACAGCCCCAGCCCCCAAAGACCTTTTAAGGCCCTTATGTTTTGCTTGCTTATATATTTTTGTTTTGTGAAGCAAGGAATGGAACCCAGGGCCTTATATATGCTAGGCAAGTGCCCCAGCCCAGTGCCCTTAAATTCTGTCTCCTTGATATCAATCTGTGCTGTTCTGTAGTTGCATTTAAGCTTCTCCTTCTCGCCCACTCCTACCCAATGTTCCCCGGAGGGTAGGGGGATGTGTGTTTTATTTACTTATCTTTGTATGTTTCATTTGGCTGCCCTGGGCATGTTTCACGAACTGCTTCTTACTCCACACCAGATATGTAAACCATACCCTTTGTAGGAGATTGTACCTCCTACACCCAAGAAATATAAGGCAATAGGTTATTGCAAGAGGGAACCTGAATGACCAACAAGAGGGTAATGCTTATAGAAATTGTAATATTTGTGTAACAGAACATTATGCAACTATCCAAAATGAAAATTGTCAGTGGTAGGGTTAAAATATACAGTAGAGAAAAAAATAGAATTTAGAACTGTGTGATAGCAATTCTACATCAAGAAACTACTTTTATAAAAGATGGAAGAACCAGATATGGCGGTGCATGCCTATAATCCCAGAGGCTTGGAGCCTGAGACCGGAGGATTGCAAATTAAAAGTCAATCTCAGCAATTTAGCCAGGCCCTAAGCAATTTGGCAAGATACTGCCTCTAAATAAAAAATAGGTCAGGAACTGCTGGTGTTCCTTATAACTGCTTAGAAATATTTGGCCTTTTTAAAAAGCTCTGTGTATGTGTATTTCTTGGATAAGTTTTTAAAAATTAAGACAAGGAGGTCTCAAGTGAAATATTGATTTGGATCATATAAAAATTGTATAAAAAATTAAAACCAGGGCTGGGATTGTGGCTCAGTGGTAGAGTGCTTGCCTAGCACGGGTGGGATCCAGGTTTGATCCTCAGCACCATATAAA